AGCGAGTAACAGAGATGGAACCGGTCTAAAATTTTTCAGACCGGTACTAGCAACTGACCGGTCTGCCGGTAACGCATGATACATCGATAAGTCACAGGAAGAAAAAAAAACTAGTTTAGATATGGAGAATACGGTTTATCACTTGGCAAACTTGATTCGCTAAGTTGTATCACGTGCCTGACATTGAGATGGGACCAGTCTGAATTTTTGACAACTAGTATTGATACTAGTCAGAAAAGGTCAGACTGGTCGGTTTACCGGTTATCGACCGATCTACTGGCGACTGGCTGGTCTAAAAGTCGTACCGGTACCGGTTCCATCTCTGCTAAGTAATGTAACTTCCTAACTGGGATTGAATCTGTGGGCCTGTTTGAGGCTGAGTTATGAATGTCATTTTGCTTGCTTCTCGAATTGTTCTAATGTATTTCGAAAAAGCAAGTGACTTGTTTTTTATCTGAAAATTGAAATTGGGATAAGTCTCATTGTTACCAGGATGTCCCAAAATTTACTGTCAAAACATGTTTCCATCTCGAGATATTAGGTTCTTTGAAAATTCATACTTTAAAAACACTGAAAACAGTTGATCTCCTTGAAAACCTAATATTTCGAAGAAGTATTCGTTCGAACTAAAATAGGTGGTTGAATCTAGTAATGATGAGGCCTGCCCGTGTGCAAAAGCTCAGATCGTAAAAACACCATCAGATTTTATCGAACAACTTTTAGAATAGGTGAAAAAATGACTAAAATAGTGTTTATTACATATTTGAAAGACTTAAAAGTTCAGTCGAAGTTACAGCATGATACAGCTATTTATGATCAATTGATGACCACTATCATGGTCGAGAAGCGAACGCGCACTTGGAAATCCTTCCTTGTAATCAGTAGTCAATTAACATGTTAGCCGTAATGTTGGTGAAACAAAAATTGACAAACTTACAACTTTTCAATGGCACCCATATCTTTTTCATATAAAAATTCCTTTGACATCCCTTACGATATTGAGAATTCACTATCGTCGGACACTTTGAAGCCAAAGTTGTTAGCTTGATTGCTAAATAGAAGTGATAAATTCAAATGTGAAAAAAATTATTAAATCCAGAAATACATCCCTGGACAAAAATCTTGCCTTCTCTCTCAAATTTTCGTGTCGAATTCATATGTTTCAAGTGAATGTTGTTTACAAGAATGACTTAAATACTATTTTACTTTAGTTTATGATTGATTACAATATTCTCCGATGAAGAGTGTACATCATGCAATACAATCAACTAAGACTGCAAATGAGTTGATTGGTAGAATACTTTATGACGATGTTATCTCTTTTTTTAATATTTTATGAATGTTTCATCAATTTTATTTTATCTGTATTTATAGTAATTGAAAATACCGCATTCTCGCAAGAACTTCCACCTGGAAACGAAAAAATTTTAAAATTCGAACTATTAAAACAGTTAGCAGCTACAAACACAAGAGATAACTCAGTTGTGAAATATCGTGTCAACCAACTCATTTGTAGTATTCCTTAAATATGTTAAAACACATATATTCTGTATTGAAGCAAAACACCATTAATTATACACTATACTACAATAAAGTGCTTACCTGAAACTAAAGAAATTCTATATGAAAAACGAAGGATAGGATTGGGGAAGACTTTTGCTCACAGATGTAACTGTTTTAAAAATTCGAATTTAAAATAAATTAAAATTTGTTTTACATGCACATCAACAATGTATTTTGAATTTAAATTAATATAATTTAATCCTGAATAAGTTTAAGTTAATTTAATCATTTCTTTCCATGGCTAATAGAGTAAGTCCTATTATATATTGTATCCATCTGAAATGCTAAGCAAAGTTTCTATGATAAAGGTTATGTCTGGTTTGTTGATTTGGAATGTATAAAGGATCAATTTTAACTTGATGTAGAATTAATTATGTTCTAAGTCTTATAACCAAACAGAAAAAAATATCAAGAATGGTATCTATAGCTTCATTGGAAAAGAAAGGCTTAAATGACATTCAGATTGATTTACGTTAAACTGTTATAGTATCATTAGAAAGTAACAGGAACCAGGAGCGGCTCTTTCATCTGGAATATGTTATTCTAATGATCGAATTGTAACATATGACATCAGATTCTTTCCTTATTTCTAATTGATATCTTTTGAAGTAATGTATTTGGACAATAGAACTGTGATCATTTAATATATGGAAAAAAAAATTTTAATTCAGAAACAAAGTCATAAAAGTTTAAACTTATTTTAAATTATGCGGTTTCTTTCGTACAGAAACTCGGAAGGTTTTCTCCTCGAGAACACAAACGCAATCAAACGAAAATCACACTATACAAGTCTATTGATTCTACTTGAGCAGCAAAACTCCGCTCAATACTCAAGAGCACAAAGATTTTCTAAAGGAACTCCATACTTGCGAAAGACAAGCACTTACTTGTTGAATTAAGAACAAGTTTCGTGTATTCACCACCAGAATAACTCCGTATTATATCAACGTTGTTATATGAGTGCGATTAAAGCACTGTATTGACTATATATACAACGTAAAATAAGTTCTGATATTGCGCCTACGTAAATATATGTTTATCAATAGAACATGACATATTATTCGTATACTGGATATGTTTCATACGAATATTACCGTCGTTTTTCTAGCTCTGTCTTCCCTCGTTCACACAGATTAATCGACGGCAATGAAGCGTTAGTTGAACGTTCACCATAATATACATTACATCATGTAGTAACTACTCTTTTCCTCATTCTTTGTACAGGAAGGAAAAAATACTTAGGTTTTACTATTCACCGTCTCTCGCTACAAAGCATAATCATCATCAAATTCAAACTCACACGATATTATCATACATAATAGAGGCTATTCATCCTTTTATCTACCATTGTATCACATATCCACTTCGGCTTCCGATTTTAAACACGACCTCTGGATCCATCTTGGTAGCAGTGACGATGATTAAGTATTAAAAAAAAACGGTAACTTTTCAAATAACTCTTTACTGCTATCAAAATAAGATCTAACATGACTGGTTACTATGTTGATAAACAATTCAATTGCTTTGATTAATCATTCAATTTTACTTTCGTCAATTGTTTTTGATTGTTTCAGTGCTTAAAAAAATATTATTGGCACAATAATTGTCGCATAACTTCTAACGTAATATGATAATCAGATCGGTGGTTATAAAATGAATATCAGCTTTTTTTGCTTTATATGAAAGTTGCCATTGTAGCTCAGTGCTTTGAATATCTATGTGACGCTTTCATTGTGGAGAAAGAATATCAGAATCTTCTATTGCTGCATATCACTCGGACAAAATTATATAAACCTCAAGAGCATGGCCTTCTGTACAAAACAAAAGTTCATGTAAAAGATGATCTATAGTAATTGATTTTCATGATATTGGAGTAAATTTCACTAATTTAATCGTTATGATATTTCATTTTGAAAGAGAATAAAACAATCTTAATTCACAGCTAAAAAACTATATTCATATAATGATAAAAGCTGAAATAGTTCAGAAGAAAAAAGCCAATAATAGCAACAACAAAAATAAAAAACAACCACAACAGAGAGGACAAAACCAAAAAGAGAACATATGAGGGATGGAAAAAACCAACAAAAATGAAAGTAAAAAACTGAGTATCTTCTTATTGAAAAATAAAGTTAGGCTGCTCTTTTATGTGAACATATAAGATTTTATATTATAGAAGTGTTCTTCTATTTTTTTCTTTTCACGTCGTCTAGCTTAGTATTAGACTGAATAAGTCAGTTAGCAAGAACATTGTACTTGATGAAATAGTTTATATCAACGTTTTTATCACATCATATACAAGCTACACTTTTCAAGAACAAAAATACATTGGTTTTTCAAATATTTCTTTTTTTGTCGCTCTCGTGTACGATTATACATATATTGTACGTCATTGTATAATTAATAGGGTAAACACTATTTTTGTAGACATATTACATGTTATTTACGTATTATTTTGTTTTTTTTTTATTTATTTGAAAATGAGCTATGTTTATGATTTTGATACAATACAAACACTAATGGATAGAACACCAACATTCTTTTAATCTTTTTCAATGTTGAAGTATAGATATGCTTAAACGTTTTATTCTATGAGATGATTGTTTTCTGTACTCGAATAGTTTCACACATGGTTACCCACTCTATTACTGACAATCATTAATGATGCAGCTCTTAATTGGAGTGACTATTTCATCGAAGTTTCTAGCTCAATTGTTTATCCTGACTCTCATTCAGAAAAACTGAAAGTAATGCAGTGAAAATTCTAGAAACTAAGATGAAATAATGCTGTCGATTGTGCTTTCTTCTATAGCATGTGTTACTGATTGAAGTACCATTTTTTTTCAAATATTGTATTTTTTTCAATCTCGAAAGCATCTTGTTGAAAAGGAAACATGTGTGAACCTTAGCAATCTTCATAGACTAGTCCACAGCGCTTTTTTTTTGAAAAAATGAAGAGGAATAGCATTAAGAATAAATCACGTTAAGGCTAAAATTAAAAAACGATCAATATTATTTTATCTTTTGATATCATGAATATACCATGCACATTGAAAAGAATATGATGGATCATTATATTTTTTCTTCGTCATTATTTATTTAACAACGTATTACTATTATGCTTTTGATTGATATAATTTTCATTATATTTGACAGTTAAAATGATCATTTATCTCACTGTCTAACCATCTTAAACTGCAATCAAAGAAAAAAAAAAGCAATATGCGTCACAACAAGTAATCATCTATAGATAAAAATAAAACGCTTCTTTTGCGTCAAAGATTATTGTATGAAGACCTACCAAGATTTACTTTTTTTTTTGAATTTACTGGATTTTCTGGAAAATTTTGGATTTTTCTCCATATCATATGTTCAAAAAAGATAATATTTTTGATCGAATTAATTGGAAGAGTTAAGTCTTAACTGTCCTTTGAGAAATGTCTGCTCAAAAATGTCCACCACTTAACGTTCTCGTAAACATTGCCCATGCACCTCATTGTTTTTGGTAAAACAATTTTCTTGAGCAACGGTGTCTTGAAAAAAAATGTTTTTTATTCTTAGCAGCTATTTTTTAAATATATCAGTAGTAAAACATGGAGTCAGGATGTGAGTCATCTATTAATCTCCATCTAGCTCCAAATTTTTAACTAAAGAATGATTTGATCACTTTAGGAATATCCAACCTACGGATCAAGAATTGTTATTGGGATTTCGCTTTTTCCTGCGAACGAAAAACAAAATCAAAATAATTTGATTGTAATAAAATAAATAAAGTGTCGGAAATGCAAAATTTATGCAGATTTTTTTTTCTCTTTTTTCATATATGGTTAGATACAGCGTGATGAGTTGAGTAAAAATATGTGTTTTCACTTTTTGGAGTGGATTTTTAGGAGAAAATTTTCAGTTTGTTTTGTGAGGATTGAATTTTCTGAAAAAAACAAGTCAATACTTTTGTTTCCTTCAAATTTCAAAACTGTTTGTTGCGGATTGAGCCTGAAATAGTAAATGTAGAGAAGTCATTTATTAGGCTGTTAAATATAAGAGAAAGACAACAGTGGAGCTAAAATAAAAATTTCATATATGATTTTCTTATTTTATTCAATAAATGGTTTTTGAAATGACACATGATATTTCGATCTCTATTATGAACCAGTAGTTATCATCAGATAAATTACAAAAAATGTATTTATTTTTGATTTTTCAATGTATTACGTTTTCTATCTATGTGTTGAATATAATATATCCTTTTATGATTCATCTTTTTGTTTATGAATATGATGTGGTCCATTATCACATGTAACCATAGAACGATATGAAAAAGGGTTTGTTATTGTTGCGTATAAATTGATGATATTCTTATAAATATTAAGATTTGTTTTTTTTTTTCATTAAAATGTTTAAATAATACACGAAAAAAGTATTTGGAATATCGTAATATACGATTATAATGAATCTGTGTATTGTTGCGATTAATAAAGGAAAAATAAAATATTGAAATATCAAAAAGAAATATATTTTCTAATTTATCTTATGATAACAACTGGTTCATAATATAGGACAAAATAGCATGTTTCGCTTAAAAAGCAATTTATTCAATAAAATAAAACAGTCTTATATGAAAATTGCATTATAGCTGCACTCTTATCTTCCTCTTTTCGAACATGCTTATGGAACATACATTTACAATAGAGTAAATTCATATATAAATGACTTTTCTATTCTCAGTATTTTATGCTGTACGTCAAACAAACAGTTTTGAAATTCGAAGAAAAAAAATTGACCTACGTTTTCTAAATGGTAAGTCAATGTGAAAATCTAAAGTCTTTCCCCTGAAGATTCATTAAAAACAACAGAAATATGTAAATTCTAGACCAGCTCGTTACGTTCTATCTAATCACAAAGTAAAAAAAAAAATTTCCCCTGCATATTGAATTTCTAACACCTTATTTAAAGTACCACTTTTTGAAAGAAAACCAAATCTATTGTTCGCTAAAACCGAATTCCAAGACATTTTCGAGACGGAATCAACTTCATTGATGCATTACTTTTACAAATATAAAAAAAAAATCCTGAAGAAGCGAAGAAAAGTAGTCGCCTTGTCACTGTTATGACCCATGTCAACACATAAGAGCATACATTGTTCTTATTGTATTCTTTTCTCTTTCTCCTTTTTTTTCGTATTCTCTGTATTTATATAAACATATGTGTTTCGATGTGATAGGTGATTATATGATCATGCTATTATTATGTATGCATGCATGTGAATGTGTATATTCTAAACCGAAAACTAAAGAAAGTGTTAACTATCTTTAACCAATTGTGATCCTTGGTATAAAAAAAGATGTTTCAATTTTTCCATTATAAATATTGAATTTTGACGAATAGATGTAATACACTTAAATTAACTGACTTATCTGTGGCTGATATTCAACTTTCACTTAAACCTCGCAAACCAGCAAAGTTTACACAAAAATCAGTGTTAAAATCATCTTCAATTTTATCTTCCTTCGTAAAAAAAGAATTATCTTCATTTTCTCCAAATAATTCACATAAAGTTTCACAATCTATTCCAATTATGTCTGAAACTGATGATATTTTAGAACCAGAAGAAATTCAACGTTAACAAATGCAATTGGTAAGAAATCAATCATTGATGATAAACTAAATGAATTGAATATATTAAATTAGAACAATCATCTCATCGTTATCTGTCTACGAGCAAAAACTTCGTCTTCATCATTACATGCATCTATTGTTATTAATGATAATTTAGATAATAAATATATCAATTGTCTCAATGAAAACATAGCACCAAGTGCTTTATTACTATAACATCATCTGATTTAAATAATACTTATTTATTGAATTCTGTCTTATCACCAACTATAGATAAAGCATTAATTGATAGGTTCGTGAAGGATCCGATTAAATTTCATAGCGAAAAAGATAATGTTATTACATGGCTTGATGAAATTGCTCAATCACTTAAAATCATCAATTAATGTCATTCAGATGAATTGAATTTGATTGGTATATGTCTTAAAGGAGAAACACATCAATGCCATGAACAACACCAAGCACAATTCATATCTTGATCTATATTTATGAATGAAATGAAAAAAATGATTTACATTAATTTTACAACGTAATTTAGCATTTAAACAAATTAAAATAATATCAACAAACAATTCATTAATCTGTATATTCAATATTATGCTGATATGATCATGTTAATACAACAAGCTGATTCACACATAAAAGAATCTACACAACTGTGCTACCTTGTGAGTGGGCTTCATTCATCTTTATCTAATGATACACGAAGAGCTCATCTGAAAATTGCACAAGACTTTTCAGAACGAGTTAGAATTGCTGAAAATCTTATTTGATTAAGTACCATATTTGCTTCTAGTTCTATGATTGATAATGAATATAATATCATCTACTTTTTTTTCATGTTTAACAATTAATGCAACATCAACAAATGATGTTAACTCTTTGAGGACGGTGGAACATACGTTATTCCACCTGTTCTCTATTAAAGAAGATCTTTACTCTCCTTTTAATGATTATGGCCTGTAAGGTAATAGGTCGTTCCATCTGCCATCTCATGCAGATTTTGTCTCTCTTCCTTCATGTTATATAGATTCCTTTCAGATGTTCTCCTTTGTTTCTTTTATTGTACACTGAAGCCACGATATCTCCCACTCTTCTCTTGATGTAGTTATTTTAAGATTTTTCTGTGGTCGTTTTGACCCAAACACAATGGACTGATTAAAGAACTGCTTTCTGACTGAAAAAGAAATTTCATTCTAAAATGATTAAAGATTATTCTCGAAATTCTAATAATGATAGTCATTATTATAAAAATCATTATTCATTTAATGATACTGACCCACAACGTTATTCGAATACATCGTTACACTCTGAGAAAGAAAGATTTCGCATTAAACCACTTCTGAGCAGCTGCAACAAAAGGTTCCGTGTGGAGAATTTCGTACCAAATCTTTTTATCAAATCAAAAATAAGGTTTCGTACTCACCGCTACATCAATAGAAATAGTGTTATCGACTTATTTGTATATTGTTATTTCTATAGCGATACCCTTATAGCTATACGTAATCAGTTATAACTATGTCTAATCCCTTATTTGTATCCGAGGGTGAAACCATTGAGACTTCGGTTGTGGAGTCTCATGCAGTCTACTTGAGTCTTCAGAAGTCTTCTCAATTTTCTACATGCCTTTAGTGAATGGAAAATTAATTACAAAGTTAATGAAACAGCTTAATTTTCGATGCTCTTATTGTAGCAGAAATCTGAAATTTTAATGTTTTGTCCATCTATTGATAAAGTCGCGGGTATGGATGTGAATGCTGGTGTTGATGATGAATCAAAAAATGCACACACCCTTAAGTCTCAGACAATGTACGAATACTAATAAGGATGAACAAAGAAACTATTTCGACAACGTGAACTTCAGTCAAGACTGGTGATCATGATAACAGTATATCTAAAAATACACCAAATGAAGATGTGCTAAGTGAAGAAACTGAATAAATATTAAACTTAAACTTTTTATTTTTTAATGAAACAAGAAATTCATCAAAATAAGTCATTATTTAATCTATATTACAACCGATTGAATATTTTGGTCTCTTTTAATAATTGATCACGTTGTTCAACCAATTTCGATAAAAAAAAAAGATGAATGATCCTATTTCTATAAAATAGACGTTGTTTTTCCGGATATCACTACTTTTTCTCGCTAATATTGATGTCTAATTATTTTATTACAGATAATTGTTTTCAACGATACATCTTACTCTTTTTAATCTAAGGTAAAAAGTATTAAATTCTATTTTTAATTGTCTCTAGCGATAAAAATACTTCTTACTTGTACCATTCTAATAGGTATAATGAGTCATAGTTGCATTTTTTCATAATGAAATAACGCAATCGTTCTTGTTTACTCAACAAATGTACTGAATTTTTGTGTCAATAAGTTAACATTGATCAATACACCATATAAAATTATTTATAACAAGCAAACAGTATTGATTTACTTAGTTCTATACTGAATTTTGTTTGTATTCTTGAAATTTTCTCAGATATTAATATTACGAAGCCACAATTAGTAAAGCATTTTTTTAAATACAAGTATGCTGAACATTCAAGTCATTTTGGTCATGATGAAACCTATTTAATAATTCAGTAAATTACATAAAAAAATGCATATTTAAGATTGTGAATGTAGACGTTCTCCTCGACGACAACCACACTATTCAATACTCCTTTTATTTCTTTTCAATCGAGTTCATTTGTTGCCATTTAGACACAAATTGTACAATGAATATATTGTGTGGTTTATCGTAATTTTTCCGAACAAGAATATCAATCATAACAAATCTCACTTGTGAGTTACTACTGTCTTCTCTACATTGGATATGAACACAACTTAACATTTTGATCAATTAATATTGTTCATGGAATTCTTCTCCATTTGAATAAGTATTTAGCAGAAATTTTCGTCCGTGTGCCGATGTCAAACACTATTATAAACACGAAGGTCCTTTCCTAAAAGCTTTGGAAAATTAATTGAACATTCTTAGTCGATACGAAACTGTGAGTAAAATTAAGTCTTTTTTTTTCTTGAAAAGTGTTTCGCTTTATTATTCGTCATTAGTAGCTACGAAGACAAGGATCGAAAATTTTTTTCGAATTTATGAAATTTAGCATGATCAGAAGCAGAATTCGTTGCTAATTCTTGATTGATGATGACACAATCATCCTCAGATGACGTAATTCAACGTCGTTACAAAACTACAGCGCACATATCTGTGTGTATCAATTCGATTTTTCAATTTAAAGACTTCACAATAAGCATTTGAGAGTCCTTCAACGTGTCACCATTTAACATCTGAAGATCTTACTATTATAAAGAAAAACATAAAAGATATTTCATTATGACAAAAATAGATATGAATTAATTTTTATCAATGATAAGAAGGTCCTTGAACATTGTCCAAACATTTATGAATACCTTAGAGCAACATATGATGTCTTAGCCGAATTATATTCTTAACAGAATGGATTCGTCGCAAAGAGCAATGCCTATTCAACGAAAAATTTTTTTTCATGAAGATAATTCAATTTAAAAGTTATTTAGAACGAGCAAGAACCTCTTGCAACTCAAGAACAATTTATAACCCATCAGGTTAATTATGATATAATTCTCATGAATTTCCAAAAGATACTCAACCTAGAAAAAAAATTGTTTCTGTCTAATACTTACAGTTTTGCTACAACATTTAACAATATTGTAGCTATCTATTTCAATCAAGAATCTTATGATTTAGTATTACAATATGATCAATTAGAACTTGAAATTCGTTCAAATTCATTTGGATCCACTTATCGAAATGATTTAATAACCTATCGGTATCTAAATATCTAATCCCTTGCATATTAGAGTTATATGTTGATAAAATAAACATGAATGATATTGGGTGTAAAGCTGTTTCTTGAACATTTTTCATCGAACGACATTCAGTTTATTTCATATTATAAAAATTTGCGAGAAATGCATTTTGTTGAACATAATCATGAGAATGCATTAGAACATTAAGAACCATCATTGAGAATATGATTAAAAATACAAGACAGCTAACGATCAGGAAATTATGTTTATTAACGAAAACCTTGATCAACTGTATTTTAATACGGTTTCAATTGATCGTTCATCAAAAAAGAGGTGCTAGTCATCATTGACATATAGTACAACAATAACATGAATAACTATGAATATAGACATTGTGCTGAACTCTGAATGTCTTTATTAAATCTTTAAGACATTAAAACATACAAAAACAATATATTTTAGGGTGTGGGTGTGGGTTTGAATATGCTAGTCTTCTCTCGATTTACAGCGACTCGTACACGTACACTCTTACGCATACCTCACAAATGCACTGTTGTGAATCTATGCATTATATAGGCATGAGGTTTCATTTTTATTAGATTATACAACGTAAGCAGAGAAAACACTGGAAAAAAGAAAGACAGATATCAAAGAATGATGATTCATTGTGTTTTAACAAATACGTCGACAAAATTGTTAAGATCTCATTTCGATGACAATTATTTCATCACCTCGTTTTCGCTGAATTCTAATTCTTTTGAATGATTTGAAGTCCGTCGATGCTATCTTCTTGCAAATCAGTCAGTTACAATAACTTTTCAATGACAAATGCTTCTAGTGCTCTTACTCTCTCTGACTTTTGTGGATTGCAATTCCTCACCTTAGTCGGAGTTTTTATTACAATTTTATCACAACAGCAAAGAGAAAAGACAAATGTTGGGGCTAATGTTGTTATTCAATGGTTTGCATTGTGTCACGGCTATATTTTTCGTCCTAAACCAGGAACCTCAGTTGAATTAATAATATAAAAATGATGTTTGATTATTTTGAGAGAATGAAATGAATATGTTTTAAAATATATTGATGTCAAGAAGGAATTATCGATTAGCAAATGCCTTGTGATAAACACATAGTCGCTTTCAGTGCCCTAAAAACCGTTGAAATGAAAAAAAAGGAGATCAGAATTCGGATGTGAACCATGTGTC